CAGGAATGTTGAATTTGCAAGAATTGATTTCTATGCAGGCATCTAATCAGGTGCAGGCTTCATCTTTTAAGCCTGTGTCTGAACAGCTTGCTCGCAGCGAAAAGCAAACAGAATCAGTTTCTGATCAGAGAAATGACACAAAACCTCATCCTCAGCAGGTAGGTATTGGACAACTAATGCCTGGGAATATCATAAGGCCAATGCAGGCATCACAAGGTCAACAGGTTCCCCATAACATGGGAAACAACGTGCTTGCATTAGCACAGCAGTGGCAGGCAATGCAGGCATGGGCTCTTGAGCGTAATATTGATCTCTCGCATCCCGCCAACGCCAACCAAATGGCTCATCTCCTGCAGGCAAGAATGACTGCTCAACAGAAAGCTAATGAAGGCAACATGTCTACACAGCCACCGCCAATTCCGGTGTCCAACCAGCCGTCTACTTCTTCAATGGTCCCAGGTGAGAATTCCCCTCGTGCTAATTCAGCTAGTGACATCTCTGGGCAGTCAGCCTCTGTGAAGGCTAGACATTCAATGTCCACTGGCCCTTTTGCCTCGACTTCAAGTCCCAGGATGGGGAACCCTGCTGTGCATCCATTCTCCATCCAAGGGAGAGATAGCCCGATGCATTCTCGGCAATTGGGTCCTCCTACAACTACAAATGGGGCACCTTTAGGACATTCTCCACAGACATCTGTGAATGTGACCCATGGTGTGGATCAGCATCCATCTACAAAGGAACCTGAGACATTGCAGATGCAGCGGCACAAGCAACTGAATGCACCACTTCTGAAGTCAGCAGGTCCATCTGATGTTGGTTTAGCTAGCAATTCCTCCCTCCAGTTTGGACAGGGTACCCAACAATCACCTCAGCGATTCGGATTCACCAAACAACAACTCCATGTCCTCAAAGCCCAGATACTTGCGTTTAGGCGGTTGAAGGTCTGCAACTCTCATTCTTGTTCTAGGTTCTGTTTTTGTGTCAGGATGTGTTTTTTTAATGATGTTTCACAGCTAATTTAGGCCCACCTCTTAAACAGTTTATCTTTTCTGTATATCAGGTTTTGTTCGGGTTTTTAGATTTTTTACTTGTTTCTTGACAGAAAGGAGAAGGTACGTTGCCTCAAGAGCTTCTTCAGGCTATTGCTCCACCACCACTTGAGCTGCAGCTGCAAAGACAAATTCCTACATCAGGAGGAAGTATTCAGGAGGGAGCTTCAGGGAAGATTGGGGAAGACCAAGTAAGGCTTTCAGAATCTGGCAGGGAGTTTCAGGTCGCATCTGCAAATGGACAGATTTTTTCAAAAGAGGAAGATAATGTTGGAGATACGACTGGCCAAAACCAAGTAATCCAAAACATGGAAAAAGAAGCTGCATTCACTACTGCTGCTACAAAAGAAGAGCAACAGACTGATGCCATTTCTGTTAAGTCAGACCAAGGACCAGATGCTGGTACTCAAAAGCATCCTAGAGCTGATTTGACAGCTGATAAGGGAAAGGATATTGCATCGCCAGCTGTTGCATCTGATGGAGGGCAGCCTACGAAGCCTCCACAGACAAGCACTCCTCCCCAGCAGCCCAAAGATACGGCCAGGAAATACCATGGACCATTGTTTGATTTTCCATTCTTTACTCGGAAACATGATGCGTATGGGTCAGCAACAACCAATGCCAATAACAATCTCACACTAGCATATGATATAAAAGACCTGTTGTTTGAAGAAGGTGCAGAATTCCTTAACAAGAAAAGAACTGAGAGTTTGAAGAAGATAAATGGTCTATTGACCAAAAACTTGGAGAGGAAAAGGATTAGGCCGGATCTTGTTATGCGACTGCAGATTGAAGAGAAAAAGCTTAGGCTTATGGATCTTCAATCACGTATCCGGGATGAAGTGGATCGACAACAGCAGGAGATAATGTCCATGCCTGATAGACCATACCGTAAATTTGTGAGGTTGTGTGAACGTCAACGCCTCGAAATGGCAAGACAAGTGCAGGCCAATATGAAAGCTGTTCGAGAGAAGCAATTGAAATCTGTCTTTCAATGGCGTAAGAAACTCCTTGAGGCTCACTGGGGTATACGTGACGCACGGACTGCTCGTAATAGAGGAGTGGCTAAATACCATGAAAAGATGTTGAGAGAATTTTCTAAGAGGAAAGATGATGGCCGGAATAAAAGGATGGAGGCCTTGAAAAATAATGATGTAGAAAGGTACAGGGAGATGTTGCTGGAGCAGCAGACAAGTATACCTGGTGACGCTGCTGAAAGATATGCTGTTCTCTCTTCATTTTTGAGCCAAAACGCAAGGCTCAGAAGAACCCTATATACCAAGTCAAGTCGTACAGGCCTCTAAATAATAGATGCATGGAGCTAAGGAAAGCTTGCAATCATCCTTTGCTCAATTACCCATATTTCAATGATTTGTCCAAGGATTTCCTTGTAAGATCATGTGGGAAATTATGGATTCTGGATAGAATCCTTATAAAGCTTCAGAGATCAGGTCATCGAGTATTGCTCTTCAGTACAATGACGAAACTCCTTGATATCTTAGAGGAATATTTGCAGTGGAGGAGACTTGTGTACAGAAGAATAGATGGGTCAACCAGCCTGGAAGATCGGGAATCAGCTATCGTGGACTTCAATGATCCTGATACAGATTGCTTTATCTTCTTGCTCAGTATACGTGCAGCTGGCCGGGGTCTCAACCTTCAGACTGCTGACACAGTTGTCATATATGATCCTGATCCTAATCCTAAGAATGAGGAACAAGCGGTTGCTAGAGCTCATCGTATAGGACAGACTAGGGAAGTAAAAGTAATTTATATGGAAGCAGTTGTTGACAAAATTTCCAGCCATCAAAAGGAAGACGAGTTGAGAAGTGGTGGTTCAGTAGATCTAGAGGATGACTTGGCTGGGAAGGACCGGTATATGGGATCCATCGAGAGTCTCATAAGGAATAATATTCAACAGTATAAGATTGACATGGCTGATGAAGTCATCAATGCTGGGCGTTTTGACCAGATGCTCCAGCCACAGCAGCGAGACTTCAGGTTTACATGCTGCTTCCCTTGCCTTCATCTGATGCTTCTGTTATGTGCATAGATGTTTCATCACTGTTTTTCTTAGATACTGCTTGTACTTGTTCCTGAAAAGAAGGATTTTTTTTCATACTCTGGAATTTTTTGCTGACCTTTTTCCACATGTATTTGGTGATGAAGGGTCTATCTGAAGAAGAGGTCAGAGCAGCAGCTGCTTGTGCTCGGGAGGAAGTTATGATCAGAAATAGATTTATGGAAATGAATGCTCCAAAAGACAGTTCATCTGTCAACAAGTAAGTTGTCACTCACTTAAAGTACGATTAAATCGAGATAATATCTAAGGAATCAAAGTGGTGGTTGTTGTTACTCGTGCTTCATAAGCTACTATAGAACTCTTAGATAGTAAAGTATGAGCTTGTCCTCAGATCATGTGTATGATAATTAATATATTTTCAGGTATTATAGTCTGGCTCATGCTGTAAATGAAACCGTTGTAAGGCAACCCTCGATGCTTAAGGCAGGAACGTTGCGTGATTACCAGCTGGTCTGTTCCCACCTGACCCCTGACCTTTATTTCCTTGTTGGTGTATTTCTTTTCAACATTGTCATTACAATAGTTTCTCAGTGGTTGTGGTCTCCACCATACAGGTTGGATTGCAGTGGATGCTCTCTTTGTATAACAACAAGTTAAATGGAATCTTGGCGGATGAGATGGGTCTTGGAAAAACTGTGCAGGTGGACTGACTATAGATTCTTTTGGAACAAGCAATAGAGTATGAATGCTTTGTTGGGAATCTTTGCTCATGCTGATCTCTCTCTGCTGTTCAGGTAATGGCATTGATTGCTTACCTTATGGAGTTTAAAGGGAATTATGGACCACATCTCATCATTGTTCCCAATGCTGTTCTGGTGAACTGGAAGGTTGGTATTTTCCAGCGAATGTTCATTAAATTAATCTCTATGTGTGACCTTTCTAAAATCCTAATTGATTTTTCTACTGCAGAGTGAATTCTACAATTGGTTGCCTTCTGCTTCTTGCATATTTTATGTTGGTACGAAGGACCAACGTTCAAAATTGTTCTCTCAGGTAAATGTGTTGAACAGCTGTTGCATATGACATCAACTTGATTTCTGATTGTTTTGGCTGAAATCTTTTGTTCTCTTCTACAGGAGGTCTGTGCCATGAAATACAATGTTCTTGTTACGACTTATGAGTTCATCATGTATGACCGTTCAAAATTATCAAGAGTTGATTGGAAATACATTATAATTGATGAGGCACAACGAATGAAGGACAGAGAATCTGTTTTGGCTCGAGATCTTGACAGGTATCGCTGCCAGAGGAGATTACTTCTCACTGGGACACCTTTGCAGGTTGGTAATGACGGCCTTAGGCATAAAACAGGGACTCTTCATAAACACAATTCAAGATTCTATAATGTTCCCTTGTTATTATGGGCGGAAAGTAATGATTGTGAATCTTTCTTTAATTTAATCTGCAGAATGATCTCAAAGAGCTTTGGTCTCTTTTGAATCTTCTTCTTCCTGAAGTCTTTGATAACCGAAAAGCATTTCATGATTGGTTCTCACAACCCTTTCAAAGAGAAGATCCTGCACATAATGTAGAGGATGATTGGCTGGAGACAGAGAAAAAAGTGATAATCATTCATAGGCTTCATCAAATTTTAGAGCCTTTCATGCTCAGACGCCGTGTTGAAGACGTGGAAGGTTCACTTCCTCCTAAGGTAGGCTGCCAGTCTTCCATCTTGTTAGCAGTTATGATATTTCTTCTGAAAATGTTTCTGGGTTGCAGGTTTCAATAGTGTTAAGATGTAGAATGTCTGCTATTCAGAGTGCCATTTATGATTGGATAAAGGCTACTGGGACACTTAGAGTTGATCCCGAGGATGAAAAACGCAAGGCTCAGAAGAACCCTATATACCAAGTCAAGTCGTACAGGCCTCTAAATAATAGATGCATGGAGCTAAGGAAAGCTTGCAATCATCCTTTGCTCAATTACCCATATTTCAATGATTTGTCCAAGGATTTCCTTGTAAGATCATGTGGGAAATTATGGATTCTGGATAGAATCCTTATAAAGCTTCAGAGATCAGGTCATCGAGTATTGCTCTTCAGTACAATGACGAAACTCCTTGATATCTTAGAGGAATATTTGCAGTGGAGGAGACTTGTGTACAGAAGAATAGATGGGTCAACCAGCCTGGAAGATCGGGAATCAGCTATCGTGGACTTCAATGATCCTGATACAGATTGCTTTATCTTCTTGCTCAGTATACGTGCAGCTGGCCGGGGTCTCAACCTTCAGACTGCTGACACAGTTGTCATATATGATCCTGATCCTAATCCTAAGAATGAGGAACAAGCGGTTGCTAGAGCTCATCGTATAGGACAGACTAGGGAAGTAAAAGTAATTTATATGGAAGCAGTTGTTGACAAAATTTCCAGCCATCAAAAGGAAGACGAGTTGAGAAGTGGTGGTTCAGTAGATCTAGAGGATGACTTGGCTGGGAAGGACCGGTATATGGGATCCATCGAGAGTCTCATAAGGAATAATATTCAACAGTATAAGATTGACATGGCTGATGAAGTCATCAATGCTGGGCGTTTTGACCAGAGGACAACGCATGAAGAGCGGCGGATGACCTTGGAGACTTTATTGCATGATGAGGAGAGATATCAAGAAACTCTTCATGATGTACCTTCGCTACATGAGGTGAACCGGATGATTGCCAGAAGCGAGGAAGAAGTTGAATTATTTGATCAGATGGATGAAGAATTTGACTGGACGGAGGAGATGACCTCTCATGAGCAGGTTCCTAAGTGGCTTCGAGGCAGTACCAGAGAAGTGAATGCTGCTATTGCTGCTTTATCTAAGAAGCCATCAAAGAACATCTTATTCAGTGGTAATATGGGTGTCCAACCTGGTGACACTGGGAACGAGAGAAAAAGAGGGAGGCCCAAGAGCAAAAAGATAAACTACAAGGAAATCGAAGATGATATTGGAGGATACTCTGAGGCAAGCTCTGAAGAGAGAAATGCTTATTCTGGGAATGAAGAAGAGGGTGAAATTGGTGATTTTGAAGACGATGAACTTACCGGTGCTCTTGGTGATCAACAGACAAACAAGGAGGAGTCTGACGAGGAGACCCCTGTTTGTGGTAGTGGTTATAATTATCCTCAGGACCTTGGTAATGCAAAACCCAATCATGCACTCGGTGATGCTGGTTCCTCGGGATCTTCTCCGGAGAGTCGTAAATCAAAACAAATGGTATCTCCTGTTTCTTCACAAAAGTTTGGTTCTTTGTCTGCGTTGGACACGAGGCCAGGTTCTGTCTCAAAAAGGCTGGTAGGCACACCTTATCTATCTTTATGTGTTTCTCATCTTGTTTTTATCATTGTTTTAATATTCTGCTTTTCCTTTCTCCAGGTGGATGAACTAGAAGAAGGGGAAATAGCAGCATCAGGGGATTCTCATATAGATCGCCAGCAATCAGGAAGTTGGGCCTACGATCGTGACGAAGGGGAAGAAGAGCAAGTTTTACAACCTAAGATAAAACGAAAACGGAGTATTCGGCTTAGACCCCGTCATACTACGGAAAGAATAGATGAGAAATATGGCAGTGAGATACCTTTCTCTCAGCACAACGAAGCATCTCAGATGCCATTGCAAGTGGATCGCAGCTATCGATCAAAGTTGAGGACAGTTATTGAATCACACGGTCCAAGACAAGATCAAAGCGATTCATCCTCTAAACTCAGGAATATGCCAGCAAGGAAGGTAGCTAATACGTCCAAACTTCATGGCTCATCACCAAAGTCTGGGAGACCAATTTCCACACAACTTCCTGTGGAGGTTAGTGCTGAAGCCACCGGGGAAACATTGGACGGGAAATCTGCAAGTCCTATTGGCTCTTCAAATGCTGGTGCAAGAATGTCAGAGATCATCCAAAAAAGGGTATGCGCGATTATATCACATGGCCTTTATTGTTGTGCTCGAATATTGTTATGTTGTTATCTGATCTTTACCTCTCCTCGAATTTTCGCAGTGCAAAAACGTGGTTAGCAAACTCCAGAGGAGAATCGATAAAGAAGGACAGCAGATTGTACCAATGCTGACAAATCTGTGGAAAAGAATTCAGAATGGTTATGCAGCTGGAGGCGTGAACAATCTTTTGGATTTAAGAGAAATCGATAACCGGGTGGAAAGACTAGAGTACACAGGAGTTATGGAACTCGCATCTGATGTCCAGTTCATGCTAAAAGGTGCAATGCAATTCTATGGGTTCTCACATGAGGTACGATTTTCCCTTCTTTTTTCTCTCTATCTTAACAAGGTAATAAATATTTCAAGTTCAAGTATGTGATGGCATGAACTGAGTGTGACTCGAGCTCATGAAATTCTGCAGGTGAGGTCTGAAGCAAGGAAGGTACATAATCTCTTCTTTGATTTACTGAAGATTGCATTCCCAGACACAGACTTCAGGGAAGCAAGAAACATGCTCTCCTTCTCTGGGCCAATACCCAGTTCAGCTTCTACACTATCCACCACAAGACAAACAGGTATCATTAACCAAGGCAAGAAGCAAAAGCTGATAAATGAGATGGAACCCGAGCCAAGCTCCCCTCAAAGGCCTCAACCTCAACAAAGGGAGAACACAAGAATCAGAGTACAGATACCACAGAAAGAAACAAGGCCTAGTGGTGGTGGTACAACAAGCCAACCAGATGATGACTCTCCAATGTTAGCTCACCCAGGGGAACTGGTTATCTGCAAGAAGAAGAGAAAAGACAGGGAAAATCCTGTTATGCGGACTAGAACCAGTGGTGGGTCCAGCAGCCCTGTCTCACCAACAGCTCCAACCGTGGGTCGTGGCCTCCGGACACCGACTCCTGGTTCATTTCCCAGGAAAACAAGGCTGGCCCAACAGCAAAGCTGGTCAAACCAAGGCACCCATCCAAACAACAGCGGTGGAGCTGGGGGTGAGTCTGTGGGATGGGCGAACCCAGTGAAGAGGTTGAGGACTGATGCTGGGAAAAGGCGGCCCAGCCATTCATAGATATCCTTTCCTTGCCCCTCATCCTGGTGAGTGTTTCCTCTGTGCACAGAAGGCGGTTGAACTATTTGAACAATGAGCAGTTAGTCTGACCCTAGTAATCGAATAATAGTGTAGGCCTGTGATCACTCTCCTTGTAAACTGGTTCGTTGCCCTTCTGGTAGTACAGAAATTAGAGTTGCCCTTTGTGTGACGGAAGTGCGAAGAAACTGTTCTTCCCTTCCGACAAGACAGTGTTACAAAGCCCCTATCTGGTATGTGTATTGAGACAATTTATGTAGGAGATACTTCTTCAAAAAACGAAAGAAATCAGATGAAATATAAAGGCTTGCTAGCGACTGGGTAATAATCTTTTTAATATTAGACGGCAAATGTACATTATTTCTGCATTTGGAGGAACATGGCGCATTCCCCCCGAATGATGCTTGAAATCATTTACACAGGCGCGATGCCCAATTGAACCAAGCTCGTGCCTTTGTGCCTTTGGCAGCTTCCATGGGAGCACGCGGCAGTGTAATACTATAGAGGACAAGATATTGCACAACAACTACAGGCCTTCAAGCATCCATTTCATTGTTTGCTGCATCCATCGTCCAGTAAAACTCTCCATCTTTTATTGTACTTTTATTCGTGTCTTGGCAATGAGTCCTGTCTCGTTAACTCATAGCTTACAGCTCCGCGTTCTTGGTCCTCATTAGTTACAGTTGTGATCTTCGAACACAGGAAGAAGAAGGAAGATGTGTAGATGGTGACATGCCAAATGCTGCATAATGTTTCCATACGTCAATCTTCAGAATGAGATAAGGTCTGATATACTCGGTATTGGCACATCAACAGTGTGTGTGTATAATCACATACCTGTGCCAAATCCAGTAGCTAGAACTGGTTTCCACTTTAAAGGAAATGGCTGCCATGGTAAATGTGATAAGACCGGCAACAACAAAGCCCCAACGTAACCGTTTCTTGAGCTTTCTGATAGAATTGCCGAACCATTCTTTGACAGCCCATGGCCTACAAATCAGCACCAGAAACCCAATCAATTTTGCATATTTGTGGTTCATAATATGCATTCAAGGTTTGATCTTTCAGGCAACTATAATGCTTTTAACTATTTGTTGCTTCTGTCAGGAAACTCACCTGTTGAGCATGCTCAATGAAAACCCCGCTGACTCACAGAAAGATCTATACTTGATAGACAGTTCCATCAAGAACCCAACGAGGAGACCACATAATCCAATCGCGAATACAATAGCGATATTAGATGCCCTGAAGATTCAACCATAGCAGCAAACGTTTTATCTTTAAAAAAAGGGGGGTTCTGAGGTGATTAACCATATCAACTCGCTTGAGCAGAACATGTACCTGGTTGCCTTAGTTAAGGCAAGTAGGGCTGTAAGAATGGCGACAACAGTGTGGATTGTCCTCTTAAAAGCTTCATCAATGGTAGATAAGTACACAAAGGTACTCACAACAGCCATGAAAGAGAGCCAAAAGTCCATGAACTGTGACCAATTTTGACAGTGTTATCTCAAACAAAAAAAAATGCAAGTTTGAAACATTCAATTCAGATGATGATACTGATGAACTAACTAGTCACGAGCCGTACCTGCAATACGTTGTAATTTAGCGCGCACCAGGTGCCAACATCGCAAGCATGATACAGTGCACTAGAGACTCCACTAGATGTGAACAACACCCACTCTGCAAAGTCCTGTTTAGGCCAAGGAATCGCCGTTTCAGAACAAGACATGAGAAAAGGAACAACACCCACTATGCAAAGCCCTGTTTAGGACAAGGCTTGTCTATTATAAATTGGATCAAAACTCTAAATTAAAAAAAAAAAATTACTTTCTGCCGAAGAGCCCAGTAGGCTGGCAAAAGAGCCGCAGCGTTTGATGCAATCAGAGCAATAGACTGAACTATATGTCCTGCAACAGTTTTTGGCACATGAGTTACCATGACAATAATATTTCAAAAACACAATTGTTTATCTCAAAACAACACGTATTGGCATATATATGGTGGAATCATATAGATCAGTGTTATCAAAATATAACGATACCTCGATGTGATACAATTTCAATGCCGCAGTCAAAGCCTCCATGGGTTCGGTCACACGAGCAAAAGCTGAAACACGACACGAAGTTAATCCAAGATATCATTCCAAGTGAAACCATCTTCGCATATATTTAACAGTTTCTGTGAAGCCAAAGCAGGAGAAACCTGTAAGATGTCAATCCACTCGCATCAAAAGCGTATCGGCATGTCCCATGAGAGGAACACCTTTTTGGGCACCTCTCAAGAGAAAGCGATACAAGAGTTGATGAACCTCTAGCAGCACTGGAAGAAGTGCCATTGAGCTGCCTTAACCCGAAAACCCAAGTTCCTTCTCGAGCATTCAAGATGTAGAAATCAACCTTGTCTCGGCTTGAATTATACAAAGAGAAGAACATCGAGCTTCTGGCACTGCAACTCGTCCGGTTCACATAATAATAATCCCAATCATCGAGAGATGGCAATCCACCATATCTAACATAGACTTGGTGGTGTATCTTGGAATTTGATGTTAATTTGACATGGATATGCCCACCAGCAGCACCTTGAGGGATGTTCATGAGAAAGTATGTCCATGTACCATTGTCCAGCCCAGGACTAGATGAAAAGTTGCTTGAAATGGGTTCAAGCTGGAAGCCCATACCGGAGTCCGAGGTTGATGCGCCACTTATCGGCATATAATATGATTCAAAAGGTGTAACCAGCCCCTTCCCCATGACTGCCTGTGTGATATACATAGAACTCAATCTCATCAGGAGCTTATAACATTTCTATACACTTAACAATATATTAAACTCGAGTTACCTGAAGCGTGTAGATCTGCTGTCCGCAATTTGGGCCTGCTTTCCCTGCAGGGCATCCTACCACTTTGGCATTCATAGAATAGCAGACTTGTGAACTGGAATTCGTTCCAAGTTCGGTCTGATTTTGCTGCCCAGAAAAACTGGTAACGACATACCATCGGCCAGCATTTGGTGAGTTAATGACTAACGGGGCTTTATGTATATCACCGGCATAATCATGCATGGTCTCCGAAGCAATAGCTCCATAACGTGCATAACTCATGAGAGAAGACCCATTACCACTTCCACCGATGGAATCTGAATTCATATTGGAAGCTGTAATCACTAACTGTTCAGCTATTCCATCTATGTCTAAAGAGTAGGCCCTGGTTTCACCACCGGCAAGACAAGAACTGGAAAATGAATCCACACAGGAAACAATGCTTCCAGTCTGGTTGTCAGACCGCGAACATGAAAGAGGATAAATGGTCTGGTTGCAGAACGGACCCCACATCGTCGATGTTTTACAACCTTCCACACTAATGTTAGCGCTGAATGAATATGCTGAGGAACGTACAATCTGTGGTGTCCAAGTATTAGTGGTGGAATTCATACAAAAGGAGAAGAATACAAAAGGCTAACACAGCATTAGAACAAATTGTTGGGAGCGTTGCATAACTATACCATTTTCCCCTGAGTTCTTGTAGCTCCAATTCCATTGAAAAGACCGACATACCATGCTCCAGGAGATATCTGAGGAAAAACAAACAGCATTAAAAACAAAACTCTCATCACAGATGTCTTCTGAAAGGAGCTCTAAGTCAAGGAACTCAAAAGTTTAATCAAGTAACATGAAAACCTGCTCATTGGTCAATCTCAACGATATATTTTTCTGCATCGGGTAGCACTGTTCTGCAATCTCAATATCATCGCCACCATCGAATGATCCATTGAAGAACTTTTCCAACGCTATAAGCAGCAATAGATACACCCAGTGTCAACAGAAAAATTGACAAAACAATAACTTAGAACAGAAGAGAAGGGAGCAGTGAGATGAAGAAGCTATGATATGTTTTACCTAAGCCGTACCTAAGCCTTTCAGAGAATTGCTTGAGACATCCGGAAGAGGAGGACTGCCGTCTCTGAAGCAGATAACCGGAAGAAGGCTCTTAGGAAGCTTCATTACACTGTTTGCACTCTGAAAGCAAACAATATTCAGACAGATAATCATATGAGCAGACACATCTTTCTTAAAGCGCCAGACAACGAATCGGAACTGAGAAATCCGTGTTTGACATTGAAGAGTGGCATATACTTACGATGTCTACATCAGATTCCAATGCCACATTCATTGATGAGAACCATGGCGGCAAATCAACTGTAAAAGATCAAAAGACAGCAAGCACAAAAAAAAACATTAAAACTCAGAATCTCGAATAATTGACACAACCTCACAATACGAAAACCAATAGGGTTGTCCGAAACTGAAATCAGACGAAGCAAAACATACACGTAACCATCAAGAACATCTGAAAAGACGAACAATTTGCCGAAATCGATCAAAAGAAAGAGGTAGGGTTTTAGGCGATGGAGTTTTACAGACCTCTTATGTAACGCGTATCGTACGGCCTGACCTCTGATTTAGGGTACCTGAAGCTCGAAACTGTGAAGAAGCTACCATTATTCTCCAAATAAGAGTCATGAAGACAAGAACAGTGACAAATAAGCCATGAGAGCACGACAAAACATAAACCAAGAATCGAAATCTCCGCCATTGCAGGCGAATTTTGCGATCAACGGAGGAGAAGAATAAAATCCAAAGGCGGAAAGAGGGTTCAGTCACAGCACTATTTGGTTTTCGGTGGATTAGAAAACCATTAAAAGGGTCAATTTTTTTATGCAATATCTTCAATATTGGCTTCGCCACGGTCAATTTGAGCGGTCCGTGGAAGCCGAGAGCTCAAGCGCCAATCAGGCGCATGAACCGCACGCGCCAATACGGAGGCCGAGGAACCGTATCCGCGTGGTCGACACGCGATTCACGTGAGTTGCATAAATAAACATCGGAAGAAATTTTACATGTAATAGACGACGTCATGGTTTGGTCCGGGACGGGGAATGTTGCCTTTACATCACTGAGAATGCAGGTGTCCATAATTGTTTTATATTCCTTTCATATAATATGGTCCTATGGACTATATAAATTTTGGAAATCTTGATTTACATCACTGCGAACAGGCACGCCCATAATTGTTTTATATTCCTTTTATATATATATAGACTATACCTACTGGGTATAAATTATTATTGGCAAAAAATGAGACTATGGCTTATAACAAAAAGAATAAAGTTTTTATGTATATGTGTCTTTTAATTTTTTTTAAATAATGAGTCTATAATATTTTCCTGATTGAAGAACCAAACGTTTCAGTTCCTATAATTTAATTCAATTTAAACTTAGGTTATTATCTACAGAAAAACTTGGTAATTACGATACTAAAATCGATATATACAGATGATTCTATTTTTAGTTTAATAATTTAATGCAAATTTTTTGTAAAATGATCACATTTTGGTATTTACTCTATCACTGATTCACTGATATTTAGCCTTTTCTATACAGATCCAGAATTATGAACCCAGATTTTAAATATATGTAATTCTTATAAGAGATAATCACATATAAATACATGAACTTTCACAAAATTTCCAAATAAATAACTAAACTATAAAACTCCTAAATAAATACCTGATTTTTTCAAAACTTCTATATAAATACCTAGATTTTTTAAAATTTTCCAAATAAACCCAAAATCTATTAACGTCATTTAATTTATAACGGAATCTGATAAAAATTAGTGACTTAGTCGATTAACGCCGTCAACGAAAATTATTTTATTTGATAAATTTTTAAAAGTTTTGGTATTTATATGAAAGTTTTGAAAATTTTATATATTTATTTGAGAGTTTTATATTTTAAGTATTTATTTAAAAAATTTATAAAGGTTAGAGATATTTATATGTTATGATTGAAATCTCATGAAATCCATCATTTAAATGACCATGAAATCTTAGGCTCCGGATCCAACGGTCAGAAAACGATCTCCGGCTCTTATCCTCTGAATGTGCCACGTGTCCTCCGGTTTTCTCGTACCCCTGTAACTGCTCTGCCAAAAGTCCCCGACAGGAGAGAGGAGACGAGGAATTTCAGAAGAACATTAAACCCCCAAAAGAAAAACCTCCCGCAAAATCCCTAGCGCCCGGAGTCGATTAAAGAAGATGAGCGTAATTGATTTGATCACTAGGGTCGATGCCATCTGCAAGAAGTACGACAAGTACGACGTCGATAAGCAGAGAGAAGCTAATGTCTCCGGCGACGACGCTTTCGCCCGCCTCTTCGCCGCCGTCGATTCCACTCTGGAGACCGTTCTTCAGGTGATTCAATTCTTCGTTTTGGGTTTTAGGGTTGTGTTTCTGTTCTGTGTGGTTTTGCAGTGAAAGTTTGATTTTAGTAACTGTAAAAGGTTCTGAGAATTGGAGTTTTGCGTTTAGAAAGCGGAGGACGCGTCGTCGGCGACCAATAGGGCGAAAGCTGTGGCCATGAACGCGGAGATTCGGAGGACTAAAGCTCGTTTGCTCGAAGAAATCCCCAAGCTTCAGAGGCTCTCTCTAAAAAAGGTCCCTTTTTTTACCCCCTGGCCGATGATTTAGTGACGCTGGATTGTGTCCAGACCAGGGGATTTATAATTCTGATGCTTTGATCCCCATCGGAGTATAATGCCGCCTGTATGTGTAAAAAGGTTTGTGCTTTTGATGGAAAGACACATTCTTGTACAGGTCAGGGGGCTTTCGAAAGAAGAGCTTGAGGCTCGAAATGACTTGGTTCTGTCTTTAAGAGAGAGGATTGACGCTATACCAGATGGCTCAGAGGCCGTGACTAAGGAGACTGGTGGCTGGACATCTTCAACATCATACTCGACTGTCAGATTGGAGACAAGCTCCTCAGGTAATCGTATCTGTGTTATGTGCCTCCTCCTTGAAGATTCTCTGCTTATACGATAAGCGTAAAAGACTCTGTAAATGGTGTTGTGCTCAATTGTATCAGATGGAAGATATGGTAGTGAATATTTCCAGCAAACTGAAGAGTCTGAACAATTCAGGCAAGAATATGAGATGAGAAGGATAAAACAGGCATGTAGTTCTTGCTTTCTTCCTGTGCTATCGATTTTTGTGGACCGGAAAGAACTCTGTATGATATTGGTTAGAAGGAATCGGCTTCTGTGCCCTATTTTGTAACTAACATGAGTCTCATTTTGCTTATCCTCCGGTTTTGTCGCAGGATCAAGGACTGGATGCCATAGCTGAAGGGTTGGAAACTCTGAAGGATATGGCTCGTGACTTTGATGAGGTTCATCAACATCTTTTATGTGGTTGACTTTCGGGTTTGTTGTTTTGTATTCCCCTATTGATCCCCGTAAAAGCTCTTATCGTCACATCTCAGGAACTGGATAGACAAGCACCACTTATGGATGAAATAGATACAAAGGTAAAACACCTTGCCCAGGTCTCCGAATATCGGTTTGGTAGTATTGCAATCATAGAAACTTTCCCCGGGATGTATTCTGATTAGCTGATACTGTCCCGGCTCTGTTTTGTTGGAAATCCTGGGGAAAAAAAGGACAGTTTTTTGCCCTCTGAAGCCTGAATAATGTTGTCATGGCTTTGTTTCTTGTGGTGTACTGTTGATCTTGAGCTATGTTTTCCGGTCATTTGGCTTATCGTTCAGATTGACAAGGCAACTACTGACTTGAAAGGCACCAATGTGAGGCTCAAGGACACTGTAACCAAGGTGATAAGCAGTTCATCGATTTCTTGATCAAACACGCCCTCTATATGTCCTGTGGCCTCGCGTTTGAGATCTGTGTTCTTGCTCATTTCAGCTGAGATCCAGCCGCAACTTCTGCCTAGACATCATCCTCTTGTGTATAATCCTAGGAATTGCTGCCTTCCTATACAAGTAAGCCCCGACACAGCTAACTCTGATGAGTTTGCCATGTGAATTTCTGATCCATCCCCATCAATATCATATTAACCAATGTGTTCCTGAAAGAATAAGCAAACGGGTTTTTGTCTTTTTCACTTGCTGCAGCGCCCTGAAGCGATGAGAGCTGATGATGCCGAGGGAATGGGCCTGGAATAAGCCCATATAACTAGAAGACCTACACATAATGGGCTTCTTGGCCCAACTATAACTTTGACTTGATTTTTTTTCTTTTTTGAAAAAAGAAGATTTTTTGGATTGGGCTTCACACTAATATCGTTGTTATAAATATTATTTATTGTGAATAATAAATAAATCGGGTCATTGTAGTCATCATCGTTGTGTTACTAAGATAGATAAGCAGACATCTGCTGCATTGTAAAATTCTGACAGGGCCCATCTGTATATGTGGTGGAGTAATGTTTTTTTTTTATTAAAGAAGAAAACAGTGACATGAAATCAGGCCTTGTCAGAAGCAGCCATCACTTTCATCATCACTTCAATATCTCCTGCCCCATCTCTCACCTACCCACTTGAACAATTTATCATTCGCGTTACAAAATTGTGCGTGTGCGCATATATATATATATTTCTATATTGTTTTAGGGTTTGTAATTACACAAATGATGCACGTCCATACAAAAGGATACTGCTTGTGTGTGTGTGGGTTTTGACATTAAGCTAGAAATGGTCCATTAATAAATACTTACTTGGGTATTATTGTTATTAAATTAAAAGAGTTCAATAGAGGAATTTATCCATACATTAATAATGCTAGAGTCTTTCTTCACGTGGACATTTTTATGTTCGGAAATCATAAATCGAACGATAATTACTATAATAAATGGAAATTTACGGTCCACTCTTGCAATCTAGAAAACAAAAGTACACTTGATTTATACGCAAACGACGACAGAAATTTAAAATTTAAAAGACAAAACAATGTATAATACTTTTGTTTTCACTTATTATTTCTCAAATGTATTTACACCGGGGGGGGATTAAAAATCAGTAGGGCTAAAAGAGGAAAAATTACGAGTACAGGGGGTGAAAAGTTAAAAGAAGAGAAAGATAGAGGGGCATGTCTACAATTCCGGCACCGAACTATACTCATTGTACAAGTCAGGGACGCCGGAGGCAGCCCAGAGCCGTTGATTGAACTCGTCCTGCATCTCATCGGGGACGAACGGTGTTCTACAGAGAGGACACGTCTTCTGATCGTGATCCAACCAACGGTCAAGACACGTCCGGTGAAATATATGCCTGCAATTGCTCAGCCACCGGATCTCTTCCTCGCTCTCGAATTCGTACAGGCAAACGGCGCAGCTCTCCGGCACATCTCCGCCGCACGAGCCGGGGTTCAAGTCGTCGAACTTGATCACTGGCAGGATCTCCCGGATCAGGAGGGCGGCGACGGGCGGGTGACACGAGTCAGGCATCTGGGTCGGGTACGAGTAGTCGGGCCAACTCGGATCCATCTCGAGGAAATCGGATAGACCCAGGAAGCGAAAGAGGGAGAAGACGATGGTTCTGATGAACCCTAGTACGGCGAGCGTCTGGACGAAGAGCTTCGGCAGGAAAACCTCCGTGTATCCGACAGGGAAGCCCATGGAGCTAAGATTTGTACAGAGAGAAAATAACACCGGATCTTGTGAACCCTAGAGAGAGAAAAAGCTTCAGCTTCAGCTTCAGCTTCAGTTTCGCTTGGCCGTTTTCCTTCCTTTTCCGTTTCTTCGGGCAGAGAAATTTTATTGTTTTTTAATAACGGGGGAGTTTATTTTATAGAGCAGAGGAAGATGAACCGTGCGGGTGACACAGAGATGATAAAGCTAGATGACTGTGATGTTTTGCTACTGCGAGAGAAGAGAAACGGGATTGGTCTGTGAGGTGTTAATATCACAGACGCTGTGGGATTTATCGGCTGGAATCTAAACCGGTTTGCAAGTTGCAGGGATGGGCACGCGTGTCACGTGCGGCAATAGAGATCCTGACGTGGAGCAGTATTCCTGAAGTTTAATTTAAAAAAAAAATCATAAACATTATAATTACTACTAATTATACGACATTATGATTCTGAGATATATATATATATATATATATAGAATCTATTATTTCAAAGATGAGCAGAGACGGTCAAAACATAGGGTAAGTTATCGATTGAATAAAGTGTTTAATTGCAACATATAGCAATAATTAAGTGTACTAACCTGGATTCTGAGCAAAAATATAATATATATATATATATAGTAGTTGAGTTTTTATAATGATTAATCGAACGGCTAAGCTTCGTTTACGTAACCCGGTCCTCTCATCGGGACCACACACGTCAAAGATATGAAGACACCGGCAGGTGGAGGAGGAAAAAGAAAAACATTAAAGTTAAATAATTGATGATAATGAAATTAGTGAGACTAAATCCATTGTTTAGATACGTTCAATCAAGTGCTCATCATTTTTGTTTGTACCCCATAATCTTTTATTTTTTGTTAGAAAATTCCCAAAAAAAATCATACAATTTAGAGATAACTAGAATATTCATCACGAACTTTTAAAATCACGAACTTTTAAAATGTTCATATTCATACTCAATTTAATTTTTTTTCTAAAAAATTATTCAAGACTTGAATTTTAACAAATTCCTCGTTGGCACCGAATTAAATTTGACACATAAGCAGAAAACGCTTATGTGACGTCTACGTGACATGCACTAACTGGCTACATAAAATACCCATCATATTAATAGTAAAAAAATTGTAAAAATTATAAAAAAAATTTAAAAAATATATAAAAATTGTAGAAATTGTAAAAAATTAAAAAAAAAATTGTAAAAAACTTGTAAACAAATTGTAATAATTGTAAAAAAATTGAAAAATTGTAAAAACCTATTTAAAAATATCTACTCTATCCCGATTTTTTAAATTTTTTTATGCAATCGTTTTTTCAATTACTATTGCTTTCATATATATCACCCCACCAATTATATTTATATACATAATTTTTTTTACAATTTTTACAATTTTTTACAATTTTTGCAATATGTTTACAAACTTTACAATTTTTATAATTTATTTACAATTTTTACATCTTTTACAATTTCTTTACGATTTTTTACAATGTTTTTATATAACTTTTACAATTTTAGAAATTTTTACAAATTTCAATTTTTACAATGTTTAAAAATTGTATTACAAATTTTTACAAATTTTTTACATTTGTTTTACAATTTTTTTAATTTGTTTTTTTTTTAAATTTTTTATATAATCTTTTTCTATTTTTTAAGAATTTTTTTATTATTTTTTATTATTAATCTGACGTGTATCCTACATGGCGTGTTAGCATATGCCACGTAAGCGCCACGTAAATACTTTCTGGCTACGTGTCAAAATTAATTCGGTGCCAATGAAGAATTTGTTAAAATTCAAATTCTGAATAATATTTTAGAAAAAAATTTCAAATTGAGTATGAATATGAGCATTTCAAAAGTTTGTGATAGAATTTTTTAGTTATTTCTAAATTGGATGATTTTTTTGGGAATTTCTCTTTTTTTGTTATCGTGTTGTTACAATCTTTCATATTGCAAGTATTCATAATCGTAAATCATTGTGTTTTTTGTTTAATTAATTAATCTATGTGATATAATCTATCACTAAATACCAATGATGATGATTGGCCATGATGTTGGCCCCCGCATTTACTGTCTGACTTGCCATATTTTCTCCTATCTTCATTATATAAAAAAAATAGGGTTAATTTCGGAATGAAAACATAAATATTCATTTTTTTTTCGAGTTTTTTAATCTATAAATAGTTGTGAGTAGTATTCACGCATGTAATAAACACATCATGGATCGGTCTATTATGTTAAAAGAACCATATTTAGCAAACGTGCGTGTGTGGGAGGCGACTTGTTATGGGCCCCTCTATTTGGGCCTGTTATCGATCCGGATAGATCCGGTTATATTTGGGCCGAGTCCATACCAATCAGGCCCGTTTACTAAAATCCGGGTCCTTTTTTTTTTTTCTCTCCGACAATTTTTTCCTTGTCGCTCTTCTTGATTCTTTAACGGATCTGTGAGATGTAGTCTCTTCGTTTCTTTCTTCTCGCTCGTCTTCTTGCGGAAATGCTCATCTGATCCCTGTTCATGAACGCATTCTCTGGTTTCGTCTCTTCGGAATCAGATCAATTGTAGAGAGGTAGGTATCAGAATTTCGTCGGTGAAGGGGACGAGACGTTTATGGCGTACGGATGGTCCCAGGTGATTCCGTTGGCATCGGGGTCGTGCCCGTCTTCGCATCGTGTAGTGTACCTCAAGCTCGCCGGACGGTTGTTGCTCGTCGTCTCTCCGTCGCATTTGGAGCTGTGGGCCTCCTCTTCTCAGTATTTTCTTAGCCTTCTTTATGATTCGCACTGTCGGGAGTTTCTACGCGAACTCAGGGTTTAGAGTTGGGAAACGAGGTTGCTCATTCGCTTCTTTCGTTGCTTCTTTTTCCAGCACCGGGTGAGGTTGGGGAAGGAGAGACGAGAAGTCGGTGCGGGAAGAAGGGGAGAATTCGCGAGCTGTGTCGAGTCCTGATGCCAAATTGATCGCTGTTCTTGTAAGTTTGTATTCTCTCTCTCTCTCTCTCTCTCTCCCTCCCCCTCTCTCTTCAGTCAAAGAGTCAATTGATTGAACTCTGGGTAGGAGGTGCGTTATAGATTGCTCTTGTACGTAGAATCGAGGAGAACGAACGGAATCTAGACAGTCTTTAGTCATGGAGCTAGCTTTTGCGGTCTGAGATTGTTAATTGTACGTTTAGGTTTTGTTTATTGGACTTGAATCGACTTATCTTCTTTGGTGTGAGATCGATACATGTGGGTTTGGCATCGTTCTCTGGCCTATCTGCGTTGTTAAGAAATGGCGCTGCACACAAACTCCTCAGGGCACCTACAATCTCTATTCTTTTACTGTTTTTTATGCTGAAGATGAAGGTTTAAGAGACGAAAGTTCGTAGCTCCAGTTCTTTTGGCTGATTAGCGGAATCTGAAAATGTTTTCTCCTTTCTCCAAAATGTTCACAGGTGAGGTTATGTTTCCTTTTCCGTTCCAGCCAAAAAACGGTTCTTTAAGAACCCGTCTCTGGATAAGAGGTTGGCACCATAACCTGTGTCGATTCTTGTAGTTGCCTTCTGAGTGCGGCTCATTTGAGTTATGTTTCTGGCGAAGCAGCTCCTCTTTGAAAGAGCAGAGTCCTCATGTTGCATCCGTGAGGAACATACTGGAAAGTCATGCCGGCTACTTGATGCCGGAGAAGGAACTTTCAAAGCTTGTTGCATTCGTGAAAGGTACTCAATTCGATATTGTGGTAAGATGGGCCTGAGCATGGCAATGTGTACGTTACTCTCTACTTATGGTTGGACTAGGATAAGATATTAAGGAAACTATTGCAGGATTTCCTTCAGCGAGAAAGATATGGTTGTGCCCGGTTGGAGAATTTTGCTTCAGGGCTTGAACTGGTGATAGATGTTAAAATGCTAAAATCTCACCTCTTGCTCTCTTGCATATGCAGAATTCCTCTTGGCTCACATGTGCTCCGTGAAGTTCAAAGAATGGATTCTTGTTCTCGCTACTCTTTTAAGACGGTCCGACCCGACGTATGATTCCCTGCCAGCGAAGGAAACCATTGTTGGAACTCGAATAAGAATGTGTGAATGAATGGAATGGCTCGCTTACATGGGTTGCTTTGGACGCAGGTCATTCATGATCTGCGATTGTGGAATGCATACAACATGACACTGCAGCTATTCCTTTGTAACCCAATCATCCTTCTCGTCTATTATTTTCTCTAACCGCAATTCTCATTAGAATATTCAATTTTTATAACTCCACTAATGTTTATATTACCACTCTTGATATTGGTTTGACACTTTTTCGATGTGTGTTGTTTGTGGGATTGTCACCCGTGAAGAAGTGGGTCGGCGGAAGTGGGAAGTGTGGGACACCATCTCAAGTTCACGAGTTCAACTTTGCGGCCTCTGCTCTCCATTCCCCACATTTTAATAAAACCCCACAAAATTTGTTATAAAATAATAAAATTAAATTAAAACTTTATATGTTTGTATAGGTATGTGGGCTACCGAATTTTATATAACCTCACTTTAACGGAATATGGCCATCAACCGCCCTCCCCACTTTTTGTTATCACCCGCACTCCATGCCCACAAACCTCAATCTAATCAATAACCTTTTATATATGCATACGCGTACATACATATACAAAGACTGGTCCCGGGTCTAGGGTGGATGTAGTCGGGCCGAAGACCCGGAGAACCATCCTGGTTATAAAAAAAAAGACGTCCAGACCAAATACAAAGGGACAAATAGATGCATCTATGGCTCTCACGAAAAAGACAATGATAATGGTAATAACAATAATAATAATTTCCTGTCTAATGTGGCAACATATGTTTTTTTTATTTTATTTCTCTGAAGAGACATTCAGACCCGTGAGTGTGCTTTCGAGAAATTGAGGGAGAAAACAGAGAAAATGAAATAGGAAATGTCGTCGTTCGCTTCACAATCTCTCTTCAGTCGAAATGCCCACCCAGAGACGAAAACATCATTTCTTCACATTCATGCTTTCTCCTAAAGTTGTCTCCTTTTTTTTTTCTGTGTATAAATACTCGTGTCCTCTGATTCCACACTCACACCACTTACCAAGCTCTCGAGTAATTCTCCCTTCTCTCTCTCTCTCTCTATATATGCAAGCAATGGTTTAGGAGAAACCACACTCAGATTTTTGAAAACAAACATAGCATAAGCTGAGATAAATTTGATCTCTCTAATCAAAAGATTCTCTTTGTTTCCTTTCAGATATATACACACACTCCACAACAAAACAAAAGCAGAGTAGTGAGCCATGAGTAACAAGACACTGGCGATCTGTGTAGTTACTGTAATGACCCTCATGGCCACGGTGGCCAGAGGCAGGGGAGGAAGGGTATTACAGTCATTCGACGAGTTCGAGTACACGGCCATGGCCTGCAGAGAACACAGTGCTTCCATAACTGAGTTCGGCGGTGTCGGAGACGGCCAGACTCTCAACACTAAGGCGTTCCAGAGCGCCGTCGAACATCTCAGCCAGTACTCCGACAATGGAGGAGCTCAACTCTATGTTCCGGCTGGGAAATGGCTCACCGGAAGCTTCAGCCTCACCAGCCATTTTACTCTCTTCCTCCATAGAGATGCTGTTCTTCTCGCTGCTCAGGTCCCAACTCATTCTCGCTCTATGTTTTTCTCCATTTCTTTAGAGAGATTGCTGCTTGGAACGAGTAGATGATGACAGTGAAGTCAGAATCAGTAAAAAAAGACTGAGACTTTCTTATTAACAGTCACCATTCGATCAAACCAACAAACAAATCAAGAAGGAATTTTGGTTTTTGAAAATGATTTTGCAGGATATTAACGAATTCCCAGTGCTGAAGGCTCTGCCTTCGTACGGACGAGGACGAGATGCGGCAGGCGGGAGATTCGCCAGTCTCATCTTCGGAACCAATCTCACCGATGTTGTCGTCACCGGTAAGTTCCTTTCTTGCACGAAAAGATAACTTAAAAAGCAGAGCATGAAACGAGAGCCGTTGGATGATGTGTGACAGGGAACAACGGTACCATCGACGGCCAGGGATCGTTCTGGTGGCAGAGTTTCCACAAGGGGAAGCTAAAGTACACTCGTCCGTACCTGATTGAGTTCATGTTCTCGGACTCCATTCAGATCTCCAACCTCACTCTCCTCGACTCTCCCTCATGGAACATCCACCCTGTCTACAGCAGGTATAATAATACCCTGCAACGCACTCTATCTGCTTCCCTGCACCCTCACCCTCTCGCTCGATCTCAGCCTCTGAACTTTGATCTTGCAGTAACATCATCGTCAAAGGGATCACGATCATCGCCCCTGTAACTTCCCCCAACACCGATGGCATCAACCCAGGTTAAAGCTCCTCTCTTACTACTACGCCATTAAATCTCTGTCTTGTGTCCTTGCGTCTCTGTCTGAATCTTGTGTTCTTAATGTTCAGATTCTTGCACGAACACGAGGATCGAAGACTGTTACATAGTGTCGGGAGACGACTGCGTGGCGGTGAAGAGTGGATGGGACGAGTACGGAATCGCCTTCGGAATGCCGCCCAGCCAGCTCGGGATCCGACGGCTGACGTGTATCTCCCCTTACAGCGCCGCCATAGCTCTGGGCAGCGAGATGTCTGGAGGCATCCAAGATGTCAGAGCCGAGGACATCACCGCCTTCCACACCGAGTCCGGCGTGCGGATCAAAACCGCCGTCGGAAGAGGGGGGTTCGTCAAAGACATCTACGTAAAGGGCATGAATCTTCATGCCGACCAGACAGCTCGTGATCCGACGGCTGACGTGTATCTCCCCTTACAGCGCCGCCATAGCTCTGGGCAGCGAGATGTCTGGAGGCATCCAAGATGTCAGAGCCGAGGACATCACCGCCTTCCACACCGAGTCCGGCGTGCGGATCAAAACCGCCGTCGGAAGAGGGGGGTTCGTCAAAGACATCTACGTAAAGGGCATGAATCTTCAGACCATGAAGTGGATTTTCTGGATGACCGGAAACTACAAAGCCCATGCCGACAGCCACTACGATCCTCACGCTTTGCCGGTGATCAGCGGGATCAATTACCGCGACGTCGTGGCCGAGAATGTGTCGATGGCCGGGAGATTAGAGGGCATTTCCGGCGATCCCTTCACCGAGATTTGCATCTCCAATGCTACCATCAGTATGGCTGCTAAGCACAAGAAAGCGATGTGGATGTGCAGCGACGTGCAGGGGATCACTACTGGCGTGGAGCCTCAGCCCTGCGATTTGCTGACCGGACAAGGGTCAGAGAAGATCAACGGCTGTGATTTTCCGACTGATGTTTTGGCCATTGATACCGTCGAGCTCAAGAGCTGTTCTTACAGAACAAACTGAAGACATACATACATCTCTGTTGTTCTGTATCCTTACTTAGAGGATCAAAATTTGAAAGACCTGAAGCTTTAAAAGACGCAGTCTTTGATATCCTTCTCCTCTTCCTATCCAAGAAAACTTGTTCAGAATAAAATAGATCAGAAATTCTCAAAACCAAGTTTTAGATATTTCCATGAAAGACGAGGCCAAAGGTTTCACCATTACAGGACATCTCTAATACAAACAAACGTTAAGCATATAGAGCAAACTATTACCACTTAATGGCTATTACAAATGCATGCTTTCACACCCTCTAACTATGTAGTTGTTTTGGATCAATTGCTGTTAGCTCACTGCCTGTTCTAAATTTCTTCCTACTGCGGAGTTAGAGCCGGAATCTGTTGATCTGAGATTACTGAGCAAAGCATCTCGGCCACTTAGGATTATGTTGAAGAACTCGTCGACTTCCTCTGTTAGCCAATCCAGCCCTTGCGAGAATCCCTCTGCGTTCTTTCCCAGTTCCAGAACAGATTCCTCAAATGGTTCTACTTCGATAGGACTCATTCCTTCTTGGATCATGGGATACAGCTTCTTGACATTGCCGTCAATGGCATCCAGCTCTTTCAGAACTGTGGATCCACCAGAGGAAACTATGTTTCCGATGTCTGCATTTACAGCAGTCTGCAGATCAGAGAATGCCTTAGCCCACAGTGGTTTGTCAGAGACAGACAAAGCCAGGAGATCTTCTGTTGAGCCCGAAAATCCCGTGACGAAAACACTGCAGATATAAACTGTATGAACCTTGACACCGTAAAGAGCCTGCATAAGAACCTTTCCTTTGGCCGAATTCTTGACTTTAGGCATATTCAGGGATTCAAGAAGGCAGTGCAGAACTGCACGACAATTTTCGATTCGAGGGTTTTTTGCGAAAACGTGTTGCCTCCAACTATCAAGGGAAGACCGGGCACGGACGTACTTCTCTGCACAAAGGGATTCTAGGCTGTGTTTGGCACACTGTAGGAAAAGATTTCCTTGGTTGAGACGTGTGAGCTCAGAGCTGAAAGTATTACAGAGATCCAGCAATTTCACACTAATGTCCAAGTAAACATCTATCCATTTATCCTCCCAATCAGATACAGGAAGCTGGAGATCAGTTATGATGATCTTTATGTCACTATGAGTCTCACGCAATGACTCCATAGCCAGCTTCATCCAGGATATGGTGAGGATGTCATCCTTGTTCTTGGGCATAAGTTTCTTAAGCCTCTCTGACAAGACAGACTCAAAGGTGTTCAACAGAGAAAGCAGCCACGGAGACAAATCTGAGCCCTTTGGAGATAACATCCTGAAGGGGTTTCCAAAGGGAAAGAAACCACGTGGAGGATCTTGTGGTCGGCTCATTCTGAACGACTCTGATATACTGTCACAGAGAGATTATTCTCATCAAAACGTGGAAAAATGACCTAGCTGATGAAGTTTTGGCAGAGTAGAATCCATGACATGAATCTAGATAAACAAGAGTTTCTGATTTGAACATTCAGATATCAAACCAATGTTAAACATGTTTTGTTCCTTCATCACAAAAATGGCTAACAGAAGAGTAAGCCTGGGTTTTTCAAGTACCCAAACGCTAAGAATCTTTTGAACCTGACAACTGAACAAACATGTTCAGGAGACAGAGGTTCTACAATCATGACTCCAAAGCCTCCAGCTTTTTCAATAGATAAATCAAAGCCCCTTTCTTTACCAAAAAAAAAAGAGGATCCATCACGACACAACCTGTACACCTCAAGACGGCCATAAATCGAGTAAATGGGGAACACATTAGATCATCAAGACAGAGATCCAACAAGAACCAAAACATCTAATCTTCCACTCGATAAATCCATGGAACCGCACGAAAACCACAACTAAACCCAGTTAGAAACAAAAACCAACGGGATCGAAATCGATTGAAGTTATCAATAACCACACCACGGATCATTACGTTAGACAATGAATTACCACCACGAACTTCTCACCAACAGTAAACCCTACTCTGAAAATCTAGAGAAAGAACTACAAAAGCAGACAAAGATAGTCCAACAAAAAAAGAAAGCTTCCGAGAGTAATACCGTAGCACGTGGTCGGAGATGGAGAAATCCGACAAGAAGTTCACCGACAGATCTTTTGGTTCTTTAAAATATCGATCGCTTGCGGGGAAAACGAGCGGCGGAAGGGAGGGGGTTTTTACCCAAATAACCTCGCATCTATTTACACCACCGAAAAACATAACACATTTTTTTTCCTGCGAGAAGACGAAATTAACCTTATTGAATTACGATATTTATCCGTTCAAAAACAACTTCGTTATTACGACTTCGTAATTAAGTCTAAATATAGTTACAATTGATTCTAAAAAATGTGACAAAAAATTCATTTGTCTTATTTTTAGTTGTATATCAGTTATATGTTAATCGTAATAAAGTCGCAAAAAATAAAACGAAAAGGGTATTTCAGACTTTTTCCACCGAAAAGTGGGTTAAAATTGAAAAAAAAAAAAAAATTTTGATGGTGTACACTGAAATAGATGCGATCCAAGTGGATGGTTATTTGGGTGATTTTCCCGGAAGGGAGGCAGGTACGCGTCAGCTAGTGGAAGAAGGGTCATGTGATAAACTCACTGACTGTCAATATCAAAGTTTGACACGTGTCAAGTTGTAAATGGCGGTTACTTAGAATATGAGTAAAATATTCAGATAATATTGCAACGGCTAGAACGTTGCTTGTCTCCCACCGTACACGTGGAAAAACTTGGATCGTCCGATCCACTGAGCAACGAGAAGACAAAGGGGTATACCGCGTACTGTATCCCTAGTGCGGCTGTCAGTATGCAACACACAGTTGGGGAAATAATAAAATAAATAACCGCCAAAAAAAAGTGTATAGCGGTTATGGTACAATATGGGCAACTAATTTCAAACGGCCTTATCTAAAATTTGTGTCGGTGAAGTAAATTAAATTGTTTAAACATCACCAATCCGTTGTAGTCTAGGTGGTTAGGATACTCGGCTCTCACCCGAGAGACCCGGGTTCAAGTCCCGGCAACGGAATTTTTATTTTTCCCTAAAATAATTTGTTATAGTTATATTATATTATTAACACACACACACACATATATATATATATATGTGTGATTAACCTACTTTTTTATTAATATAAAAATTTTGTACATGCGGAAAATATGTTATTAAACATTTTTTTTAAATCGCCGGACCAACCACTACCTTCGTGGTATTATTTTTCCGATAAACAAAACAAGCAAAAAACCGTTTTAAAAAAATTATTTTCCCCAAGATTTGTTTCACAGCCTTTATTGTTTGTACTCGTATACTCGATGCTTGATTTTTCTGGACAATAAAATAAGATCAGATGCATTAACCAAATTTCGTTAATATTAACCAAATATTTTTAAAAACTAACCTAATTATAACACTCCATGTTAACTCTAAAGAGAAAACTGCTTCAATACGCAATGAACTTTTCTAAGTTGCATTTGAACACAAATACATCTATTTTTTTAAGTGATATATTATGCATATATATATATATATATATATATGAATTTGAATATTTTGTTCAAATTGTTCCACGTCAACATAACATGAAAACAATATGTTAAATGTATGATGCATTTATAAATATCTAAAGTAGACTAAAATTATAATTTAAGGAGGAGCTCACGGTTAGTCTAAGTCAAGTTCTCAACTACTTGATTTATAAACAAAGTGTTGGTTTATAAAGGACAAATCCCTGATTTATACATACAATATTTTCTAATTAAAAAAATACCCAAAGCAAAGCAAGTAGCTAATATACAGACAGACATATTTCATTGTCCAAGATGGCCGAGCAAGAGGACGTACGTCCTCTGTCACCGGCGGCGGTGGTGCCGGCGAGTCACGTAGAAGATTCCCTGAAGGAGAATCTCCGCCGCAGAAACCACATCAGATGGTGCTGCGGCTTTGTAGGAGTCACGTCATTCGTTCTGACCATAGTACTCCCACTGGTTTTGTTCTTCACCGTGTTCCAAGCCAAAGACCCAATCATCGTAGTCAACAACGTGACGATGCCGTCGTTGCCCGGGACACAGTTCCCTCCCCCGGACATCACGGCCAACATGTCGATGGTGGTGGACGTGTCGGTGAAGAATCCGAACGCGGCGTCGTTCAAGTACTCGAACACGACGACGGAGTTATACTACAAGGGACTACTGTTCGGGGAGGCGCGTGGGCCACCGGGGAGAGCGAGGGCGAGACGCACGGTGAGGATGAACGTGACGCTGGATATATACGCGGGTCGGTTGATGTCGGATCCGGGTCTGTTGGAGGATATCGGGTCGGGTCTTATGAACGTAACGAGTTACTCGAGGGTGCATGGGAGGGTGAAGATTCTAGGGTTCCTTAAGGCTCAGATGACGGTGAAGATGAACTGCTCCACTTCATTCAACGTCACGAGCAGATCCATCCTCCGATTCAAGTGCAAGAGAAAATTCAATCTCTGAGTACAGTGTTCTTGTCACTGTTTTTTTTTATATAAAAAAAAATACGTTTTCGAAGGTTATCCGTGGGTGTAATGAACGATATAACATGCGTGTTTTTTTAGTGGTCATTACGTACTATAGCGTAGTTTAAATATTATATTTACAATGAAATAATCGACAGTTTTTTTTTCATATATTTATCCATTTTTTTTGTAATTTGGAAAGTTCAAAGCATTTTCATTAGTTATTCATGTTTTTAATCAATCGGTGTAACAAAAAGATGGTATTACATCAATAGAAAGAAAATCGAATTGAACTGAATCAAATAATATTTTACTGTATCCAAATCTTATTTTATTTTAAAATCAATCGGTACAAGATTTCTAGAATTAAATTAACTGATTTCAAGTTTGATATAAAATTAGACGGAAAAAATAAAATGATATAAAAAATTAGAAAAATGTTTTTTTTAGTAAAACTCAAAAGCCAATGGTGATCAAAAAATTTTAAATAGAAAAATCTAAACATAAAAACAATCTAATCAAAAGGAATCAAATCCCAAAATATCCGACCATAGATGAGAAATACTAATATCAAACGGGGAGAGAGACTTGCAGAACGAAGAGTCTATAAACTTGATCATCTTAATTTAAGGAAATAATAAAGTAATAATAATAATCGCCCACGAGAAATTTAATTAATTAAAAACCATCCCTTAAAACCTTTTTAATTGACTTTATGTTATAAATTTAAATTCTAATTAATATTGTCAAACGCAGCTTTAAACGATTGGGAACCAACAGAGCCAAAGGGCGCAACGTGGACCGTGCGATGTACTTGAATAATGGGAACATAGTTATGGTCGACCGTCCTCTGCTCAACCATAAAAACACGTTTTAAATTAAATATAATTCCTTAATTGCATAGAAAATAAAATAGATGGTTCCAAGGCATACAACTTCCGAATTCAATAATGGACACGCAGATGAGATCGTTCTAAGCAAATATACATATATAAGTCTAACGTACGTTCTCAACTACTTGGAATTGAAATCAAGTTTTTGTTGTGGGTTTATATGAAAAGCACAAGCCACGCAGGAGGGAAAAAAATTAAGGCGGTAACCATGGCCGAACAAGACCAAGCACGTCCGTTAGCTCCGGCGGCAGTACGGCCGGTGAGCGACGGAGCCACCGTGGGATATTCAACTGAGAAGAATCGCCTTCGCCGGAGGAATCACATCAGGTGCTTCGGTTGCGTGGCGGTCACGGTTCTCGTCCTGGCAGTGACCGTACTGATTCTGGCCTTTACCGTCTTCCGAGTCAAGGAGCCGAAAATACAAATGAACAGCATCAAGATCACGAGTCTAGACATCTCCCTCGGGCCACAGATCCTCCAGCCACTGATCAACGTCTCGATGGCCGCTGACTTGTCGATCAAGAACCCGAACTCAGTGTCGTTCAAGTTCGGTAACACGACCACTGAGGTTTATTACCACGGAACGGTGGTCGGAGTGGCTCGTGGACCGCCGGGGAAGGCGAGGGCGAGACGGACGATGAGGATGAACATAACGATGGACATCTTGGCTGATCGGATGCTGTCTTCGGGCGGGGATCTGGTTCGGGATGTCGGGTCGGGTTCGCTCAACATGACGGCTTACACTGTGGTGGGAGGGAAAGTGAATATACTAGGGATCGTCAAGAAACACGTGACGGTTAAGATGAACTGCACGGTCGTGTTGAGTTTGTCTAGCCGGGATACCCAAGGTTTCAAGTGCAAGAGGAAAGTTCATCTCTGACTTTTTAGTTCCAAGATATCCGGAACTGGGTTCTGTCGGAGGCGAATCCATATACGTATATTATTATTCTTCTTTTTAATTTCTTCGTTACTCGGATGTATAATTACTGTATTTTTTTTTCTTGTCCTGTGAATGGTGGTATATATGACAGCAGGATACATATTATAGATATCTAATAGACGGTGAATATATGGACGAGTATAGTCGTGGATTATTTATTTATTTAATATACGAGTGATGTTGAATGTTAGAGCTCAGATTTGAATATTCAGTTATCAGATGCAATAAATGGTATGAATTTGTGGGTGTTCTAGTTACAGTGCGTCTGTTCATAGTATCAAAGCTAATTTCTTTCGTAAAAGTACATAATAAAACCATAAAAAAAAAGTTTTAATTTTAATGATGATTAAAAAATAGCATGGAAAAATAAGTTGATAAGAACCTTCGCGATCAAACTTTGAATGCTGATTAATATTAATCGAACGCAAATTAAACGTTGATAATAATAATAATAATAATAATAATAATAATAATAATAATAATAATAATAATAATAATAATAATAGGAGCATGCGCCACATGGATTTTGCGGCATCATTGATTATCACGACATCATATATATATATATATACATATATATATGAAAATGTAGTGTTTTTAAAATTTTAACGACTGGCGTCTAACCATTCAAATAAAATTATATATTCTGAACAGTATTAAAAGATGCCATGCTCATACATCTAAGTCCAAACATTGAAGATTTGTTTCCTATTATTTCATAGTTTAAGCTTGAATAAAAATACGATGATAATTTATATGTGTGTGTTTTTTATGGTGAAAGTTTTGTAATTTAAACAGTATGGATCAGATTAGTAAAAAAAAGGTGTAAGAATCAAGAAATAATTGGTCACGAGCCTTGACTATTTGCAGTCAATCTTAGCTGAAGCCGATGGTGATAATACACGTCCCGTAATAAATGTGATTTTTTTTTTTTTCCC